AAATAAGTAACTAATTGGGGATGCAGACGGGCGGCCCTGGGCCACCGCAGGAAGCAGAGGATTGGGGCAGCTGCTACCACACAGCGGCCCCAATTCTCCCATTTGCCGCCTCTTAAAAGAGCAGCAAAATGCCACTCCTATTAGAGGCGGCAAAAGGTCCCCCCAAGAGCCAGCACATGGCTCTTCTCTGCCTCTTCCGGCGTAGCGTGGCACGTGGTGTCTTTGGGGAGGGGTTGGGGTGGCCGGCGTGTGGCTGCCCCTCCCCTCCCCTGCCTCCAACACGCCACAAAGGGCCCATCTGCAGATGTCCTAAGATAAATTACTATCACCAGGAAGCATATTAGGGCATCAAACCAAATGCAAATGAAAATCATTGAATCGATCAGTGAATGCTAAGTCAGCACTCATACAATCTTATTGATTTACTGTATCTACTCCAGGTGAAACTAGCAACTGGATTTAAGCCTATATGTTACTGGATATTGTCCTTGCAAGATAGATAAAAAGAAAGCTATTGACCCATATGTTTCTTTTATTTTTATATCCAGTTAATCTCCAATCTCCATACCCTATCACTACCTCCTCCACTGCAACCTCCTTCCCTCTTTTGATCCTGTTCAGTCCTACCAGTGAAACCAGTGAAAAGTGCAGTTTGTTTGTTTGATTTATTGTTGTGTTAACTTTGATCAAGGCCACCACATCAAACCAGATTTGAGCACAATCAGGACAAGAAAAGACTACTTTCTGCCATGTCTCCTCAGATTTGTATAAACCAAACATCTACTGATGGATGTGGATAAAGTGTGTGTTTCACAGACAAGGATGTTCTCCACTCTGTAAACTATGGGGGTTTTAGTCCACAGAGCATGCACCCTTTGGAAGCCACCATGTCCTCAAACATGTGCCCGTATCTCCCCTGTTTTGGAGAGAAGCCAAACTGTGTAGCTTATCACACCACGATAGTCTCCTGTGTCTGAAAACAGGGCTCCACACAGCTAGACAAAGGAAACAAAAATAGCTATAGTAAGACCTCCCTCCTCTGATTCTCACGGATGGATTGAGGGAGAGGAGGGAGAAAGCACAAAGCAGAAGGAAAGCCCAAAGTTCCCAAAGGAAAGTGTGTGATCTCATTCTCTGATTTCCCGAAATGTCCCATGTAGTAGCTGAAGAGTTCATGGAGCCATTCTGCCTGGTTAAGTCTTTTCCAAGCAAAGTACCCCTTCTAGGCTTGTTTTAGGCTGCATCATAACTTTCTATGATTAGTTTTCAAAGAAGTAGCTGTGTTAATCCCTTGCAACATTAAAATGGAGGAAAGAAGCGGGAGAGGAAAGAAAAGAAAAGAAATGTGGCAGCACCTTTAAGATTAACTGATATTTATTTTATTTTATTTGCATGAGTTTTCATGAATATAAACCCACTTCTTCAACTGCAATACACATCTGAAGAAATGGGTTTATATTCACAAAAGCTCATACAAAAAAAATCAATTAGACTTAAAGATTCTGGTACATTTCTTTTCCCTCCTCCTTCCTTCTTTCTTTCTATGAACAAGTATTCATGACAATCCAATCTGGTGAAAAATGCCATGACTGCTACAAGTCTTAAAATTTATATCTTTTTGTAATCTACCTAGAATTATTTTGTCATGGTGGACAATTTAAATTATTTTAAAAAGATCTTCCTGATTTTATAATATAACATCATTTGTAACTAAAAACATTAATACATGATAAAACAATGAAATGAAAATATTTACCTATCATACCAGATCCTATGATAGAGTTGATAACATTGAAAGTAGCTGATGAAAGGTTGCTAGTTCCTTGTTTGTGCCTCTGTTTACAAATAAGGTTTGTCCTTTCATCTTTTTCCTCCTATTTCAATAAAATAATAGTGTTATCAAAGAAGAATATATTCATGCATACCATTCTCATAGTTTAATAAGCATAAAACTGATGAGGTTCCAAATTTGGAGAGTCTTTTCTGAAACAGATGAACTCTCAGAGATTGAGTGAAACTGCGTAACAGTCAACTTATTTTTATTATCTAAATAATATGAGGACTGGAAATTATATATCAAACTTAAAGCCAGGAAAGATTTATGTGTCGTGAAAATTTAAATAAAACTATAACTGTTTCTCTGTGTTCTGACAGGATGCTTTAAGACTGCTATCCTAAATCTGAGTAAAATTATTTAACATAGCAGTACTGCATTTACATCTGAGTAAACATGCATATGATTGTGCATGTCTACTGTAGACAGGAAAACAGTATCTGAATAGTAAAATACAGTATAGATAAAAATCAAAAGTAGCAATAGGTTCCTGCACCACAAGAAAGAAGAGCTGTTCAATATGTTTCAGCAAACTTTTTTTTAAATCACAAACTTGCAATATCCATGTGTGAAATTAAATGACCAGGTCAGGTAAACCTTGCATTACACTGTTCTTTACATACGCAAGGCTTACTTGACTTGGTTGTTCCATCCCACCCACTCTCTTGATTTCTAGAGATCACTTGAAGGCTTCTTCCAACAATGCACCCAGGGATAACCCTTTCTTTCACAAGCCTCTGCTTTTCTTATGTTAACCATTTTGTGGCCAAATTGAGTGATGCTTTTCTAACATGCTATGAATAGCTGGTGAGGCCAGCTTATCTGATCTCCCCTTTTCTCTTACTTTGCATGTGCTCACATATGCAGTATTCTGGAGGCAGCTGCTGTTATCCTTATAGTATGTAGTTACATACACAGGTACAGTAGGATCTCACTCTTTCCTGGTTCGAACTTATTTATCATGTTATTTACTCCAGATGTGCTACTGTAACTCAACACTAAAAAAATTCCATGTTTCTCCAGCTCTTCTTAACCATTCTCTTAATGGCGATACTGTATTATTATTATTTAAAAAACAAACAAACTTCCAGCTAGACACAGAAGGGGAAGGCTGGGGTGCAAAAAACCTTTGTAAAAGAAGTTTTGTTAACTGAGGTATGCCTGTATATCAGTCTAATAACACTTTAACTACCATGGCTTAATCCTGTGGAACTGTGAGATCTGTAGCCTGTTATGGTACTTAGAATTGTCTCCTAGAGACTTCTAGTGTTGTTGTTGAGGACCAGAAATCTATAGCAGAGAAATTTCTAAGTATCTCACTATACTACAAATCCCAGAATTCCACAGGATGAAGCTATGATACTTCAAACAGTATCAAACAGCTACAACTCTGACTAAGACATATCTAAAGTACTTATGTGAAGTGATGTGAGGCAATGGCTAACATATTTTCCTCATTCCCTGTGGTCATTTCTTGGCCTCTTCCTTTGCAAACTCTAGCTTTCTCTGATGCTGAACTTGTGATCATGTCAGTCGCTACTCCTGTGAATTCTTTCCAAACTGCCAAACTAGTCTTGCAGTTCTGGAGAGTCCCCACACATTCAATGCCACACTTCATCCCAGACTTTTGGATCTCCATACTGGGGAAGACTGGAACCTTATATCAGGAGTTAGCAACTGGTGTGCATGCACGTGCTTTTAAGTTGCCTATGAAATTCATAGGGTTTTTTGTTTGTTTGTATGTTTTAGGAAAGGAACACTCATAGATGGTTTTGCCAGTTCCTCCCTCTGAAATATAGCCTAGAACACCTGGAATTTCTTGACAGTCTCCCATCCAGGTACTAACCAGTGCTCACCTTGCTTAGCTTCCAAGATCAGATGGGATCTAGTCCCTTTAGTGTATTTACTTCCACATATTTGGGACCTACAACTCAAGTATAGCCTCTGGAGAGGGATTATGGGAATGACAATACAAGAAGGGACCAATTCAGCCACAGTTTTCTGCTCCTGCTCTTGCTGTAAATGGCCTGCTCTGACTGGCATCAGATTTATAGGGTTGTAGCAAGCGTCTTTCCCACCCTGCCCACAAAGTGCCAAAGCGTAGAGCGCTATAACTCTACAGTTGAGCACCCAGCCTCCAGGTTCCTCCACCATAGAGTTTTATGCTCCAAACTGGCTACCATCACCAGGAGGCAAAGGTTCAGGACGGGGAAGGAAAATCAACTTGCTTTTGCTCTTGCAAACCAAAGCAAGGAGTTGCTCTTGCTCTGTTTTTTGATTGCTGTTAACTGTCCCCGAGTCGATCTCATTGTGACCCTATGGATCAGACATCTCCAAGACTCTCTGTCCTTCACTGCTCTGCTTAATTCCTGCAACCTCTTAATGCCCAAAGTTACCTCCTTAATAGAGTCCATCTAGCATGTGGCCTTCCTCTCTTCCTACTTCCCTCCACCTTCCCCAACATTATTGTTTTTTTCAAAAATTCATGCCTCCTCATGATGTGTCCAAAGTATGACAGTCATAAGTTTTGTCATCTTGGCTTCTAGAGATATTTTGGCTTGTTCTGCTCTAGAAACCATTTGTCTTTTTGGCTGTCCATGGGATCCTCAGCAATCTTCTCCAGCACCACATCTCAATGAATTGATTTTCTTCCTATCATCTTTCTTAACTGTCCAGCTCTCACATCCATACATGGCAATAGGGAATACGATGATGTGTATGATTCTGACTTTTGTGCTGAGTTGTTCATCTTTGCATTTTAGACTCTTTTCTAGTTCTTTCATAGCCACCTTCCTCATTCTTAATTTTCTTCTGATTTCCTGTCTG